CTCAATAAAACCGTAGAGCAGAACTAGATAAACCTAGTGAGCCAGGGAAATCTGGCTTTCCCTGGTGATTCAATATTTGTGAAACCTTAGGTTTATATGCGCATATACACACACATTGAACACACACACACACACGTTCGAGAATTAAAAATTCAAATTGATAATCGTCGAAATAAATAACAACAAATAGAAAAATTTAAAAAAAAAAATATTATATGATTATATAATATGTGAGAAAACTGTTTTATTTAGTCTTGCATTGATCACATTTATTTGGCAACCCACTGAGGTGAAACAAATTTTTCAATTTTCCACGAATGGTCTTATCTTCCACTTTTAGACTATTTTCACACTGGTTTTCAAATGGGATTAATATACATTTATATATATATATATATATATATATAAGGATTATGATGTGTGTGTGTGTGTGTGTGTGTGTTATGTATGTGTGTGTGTGTGTGTATATTAAATATATATCATCTACATGCAAAAAATGCTAAAATAATGGAACTCTTTATTAATAAAAGCAAAAAAACCAACACTTAATATCAACTATGATCACGGACACAATGTCTTGACCGTATTTTGAAAAATGAAAGTATTACATAAATACATACACGCAACAAACTATTTCTTATTTAACAATTAAGATATTTCATCCTTGAAAATGGCTAAATGTATAGCCGAAAGCGCTCGGAATAAAATAGCATTCGGACAGTTTTTATATAATTTATCATTTGAAATAAATGTTAGATCGCATGAGAAATTGCATAAAAAAATAAATAAATCAAGCACCTTGTCTGTCGTATTCAATGACAGGAATAGTAAGAGTAACGGGTCAGTCGGTCAGTCTGTCAGTCTGTCAGTCAGTTCGTCAGTCAGTCAATGCTGGACGACAATTAGTCGAATACGAAAGTAGTCAGCGATCACAACTAGATTACTCTGCGTAATACTTATTATATCAAGTCCCTAACGTTTTGTACGTCGAACCTATTTTAGGACCGACTTAGTACAAATACAAGCCTCCACAGCGAAATAACTCCACAACACATCGCTACACAGGAACTACCATGTTTCAAGACAGAAACTAAAATTTTAAATTTAATTATAAAATTAATTTTAATATCCATAGCCCCGTTCCATTCTCAAGTGATTTTTTCTAAAAAGAGAGAAAAAAAAATGAAAAGAGACAAAAGGATATTTAGTCGAAGCGTTTCGTCCTCTCAGGGATTTATTTTGTTGCATGTGTTTATATGCAAGAGCAAGGATGTCTCAAATTTAAACGTCTTGATAAACCAGTGACATCCTTGCTCTTGTATATAAACACGTGCAATGAAATAAAACCCACGTTTACCTTGATGAAGTCCCTCAGAGGACGAAACGCGTCGGGTAAGTATAGTTTTAGCTCTTGTCTCTTTTCAGTGTTTATAACTCTTCTACAGATACATTCCATATTCGAATCTCTACACATTGTCGACATAAAAACAAATACACACAAATGGAGGTTACAATATATTAACACTACACACACACACACACACACTTAGTCAGAAATACAAGCAGTTACTATACAATACCCACTAATTCCCACAGAAACAGGTTTTTATTGCCTTGATTAATTACCTCAGAGGAAAATAAACATTTTAAATAAATATAGTTTTGTAAGAATTTTTATTCATATATATATATATATATATATATATATATATATATATATATATATTCTCAGTATATATCTGTATTGACCACAATTTGCCCATGTCTGTCTCTCCATCTATCTCAGTCCATTCTGGGTTTTTTTTTAAATAAATAATTATACCCCCAGCAAGGCAATAAAGCCACTAAGACGCAAGGGAGGATATTGAAAGTGAAAAAATCTGAGAAAAAAGGAAAATATTATTAAGGAGAGAGAACGATAAAAGAACAGGAATTATGAAGACAGACATTGCATTTAAATTTTTGAACAATGTTGACTAGGAAGCAAGAAGCCGGAAGTTAGTTCCACAAGTGAGAAGTGCGGCAGAAGAAACGGTTAGCATAGAACTTATGGTTACAACTAGTATATATATATATGTGTGTGTGTGTGTGTGTGAAAAGTGTATGTATATAAATATAAATATATATATATATATACATATATATATATATATATATAATTATTTACATATTATATATATGGTACCTATCAGAAAGCTCAATATCAGAGATAGACTAAATATTTGGTTGGATTGATTTGAGATTGTGACCCTGGGTTTCATCTTTTGCGATCGTCAAAGCGTAAAACCCAGGGTGACAAAATTACATCAATCCAATAAATATATATATATATATATATATATATATATATATATATATATATATTGCATATATTATAAAGTAAAGTGTTCATTTTTAATTAATTTAATTCTACACGAACTTTATATTTTTTCCTGTACACACAACACACACACACACACACACACACATCATTCATTTATATATATATATATATATATATATATATATATTCCAAGATCAACTAATTCTAAACGTCCTCATAATAAGTTGGATATTTTAATCCCTCCTTTCCTCTCAGTTTATAAAAACCTCGTTCATTACCTCCTGATTGAAGTGGTTCTTGTGATTTCTATTGAAAAAAATTCCCCAGTATAAGAAAGACTGTTACTTACAAGAGAAAGTAGTTGCAAAAGAGGCATATCCCCCTATGTTTTACAATAACGAAATATTACAAGAAAAACCTTGCATAAAAGGCAAGCTAATAATGTTGAGTTTCTCATAGAAACTTAAACACAAAGGTGTCTCTTTCTTGGTTAAATGCTTTTCTTGTTAGTTTAATCATTTCTCCCAAAGCCACTGAGATTAAAGTCGTTTCTGAGTGTTAGAGAACATAAGAGACCAAAAGTAAAGAAGGCAGAACAATAAAAGAACAAGTATTAAGATAACAGAAGATAACGATTGACATTGCATTTAAATTTCTGCGGATCAAATTTGACTGGAAAGCAAGAAGCCGGAAGAGAGTTCCACAAGTGAGAAGTGTGGGAGAAGAAACTCCTAGCATAGAACTTACAGTTATATCTAGCCATTTCAACTTTAAAATAATGGGACCATGTTGCCAAGCTAGTACTATGCTTAAATTCATAAAGTCTAGGTACCATAATGGAAAATTCATCAAAACAATTACCATGAATATATTTATAGAAAAGGCACAGGGAAGCTATGTTATGGCTATGTTATGTAGGAAAGTGACTGAAGCTGAGATGCCAGGTGAGGACCAATAACACTGCAGATTCTTTTTTAGATTTTATCAAGAATCTGTAAATATATTGCATAAGCACCAGACCGATAGATTTCTAAATATATGAGGTAGATTCTGGCAAGAAAAATTGACTGGTTCCCTTATATATTACAATATATATATATATATATATATATATATATATATATATATATATATATATATATATATATATATCTTACTTATTATAAAACGCAGATTGTGTGATTGTGTGTGTGTGTGTGTGTGTGTGTAACGTTTATATATTGGATCGAATTTCCTACATTTTTAGCCGATTTCAACAAAACTTCACAGGACTACATAAAATTACCTTGTGGATGGTTCTAACGGCGCCGAAAATGGGAAAAACAAAATTGTTTTTTTAACAAAAATCATTTTGAAAACACGATTAAGACACATCGTGAGAATGAAAGGGGACAACTCACCCACGAAAATCTAAACAAAAGAGCATAGCATGATGAAAAAAAAAGCCGAACTTGACGAAAACAAAATTTTATCGTCTAATGTTCATATTATTATTAAAGAGGAAAGATCAAAAGTATTTTGGGGTATTTTTTTACTTTTTTTAATCGTTCCTAGCACGTCTGAAATTTTCGTTAAAAATTTTTTTTTTGGTCAAAAAAAGACAGATAATCAATCATTTTCAATCATTTTTTTCGATTTGATAAAATCAAATCGAAAAAAAATAAAAACTTGATTTTGATATTCTTTAAAAAATCAATTATCATTTTTTCAAAACTGATTTTAATAAAAACAGAAATTATACTGTTTATTTAAAATATTTTGAACCAAGCTTAACTTAGCTTCTGCGCCGAAAAATGTAATTTGAAAATATAATAAAGCAGGTCATAACCTTTCGCGTCGCTTGACAATTGACGAAAGGCACATTCAAGACGTTTAGATAACTTACGGGAGGATAATTCTTTCTACGTGAAATTATTTAAGTGAACAAATTATTTACCTTATATATATATATATATATATATATATATATATATATACATATATAATTTCACCCTAAGCAAAGCAATAAAGCCGCTAAAAATGCAAGAGGTTACTGAATCTTAGAGAATATGCAAAAAAAAAAAACACCATTAAGGAAAGAGAAGCAAGAAGCCATAAGAGTTCCACAAGTGAGAAGTGTAGGAGAAGAAACTGTTAGCATAGAACTTACAGCTATATCTAGCCAGTTCAGCTATAAAATGATGAGGTCTAGCTGCCAATCTCGTAATGCTTTAAAATTGGTTAAGTCCAGATACCAAAGAGGAAAAACTCGCCAGAACAATTATCCTGAAAATATTTAGAGAAAATACTAAGGGGTACTATTTTACGGCGCTGAAGCCAAGATACCAGGTCAGAACCAATAACATTGCAGATTCTTCTTTCGATTTTTATCAAGGGTCTCTAAATATATAGCAGGAATATCAGTACGTATGTGGCAGCAATATTCAGAGTATAGATGAATGGTAAACTTAGGAATATGTAAGATAGAGTCTGGAGAGCAAAAAATGTCTGGCACGACACAGCAACTTTCTCAACAGTCGACCTAGCCATGGATTCAATATAATCTTTCCACGTCATGTCACACTTCTGGAGTTTAGGATCATCCACGTCGATGGAAGGCAAAAAGTGTTCTATCAGACGATTTAATGGAAGCGATTTTGTTTTGGAGGTGTTAAAAATTACAAACTGTATTTCTCAGACTGTTCATTATCTATCTATCTATCTATCTATCTATCTATCTATCTTATCTATCTTCCTTTCTTTCTTAATTTGTTTCTTTTTCTATCTTCCTTTCTTTGTTTCTTTTTCTTTCTTTCTTTCTTTCTTTCTTTCTTTCTTTCTTTCTACATTTGTTCATTATCTATCTCTCTCTCTATCTCAATTTGTTCATATTTATGTATCTATCTATTGCAATTTTTTCATTATCTATCTATCTATCTATCTATCTATCTATCTATCTATCTTTCTTTCTTTCTTTCTTTCTTTTTCTTTCTTTGTTTCTTTTTCTTTCTTTCTTTCTTTCTTTCTTTCTTTCTACATTTGTTCATTATCTATCTATCTCTCTCTCTATCTCAATTTGTTCATATTTATATATCTATCTATTGCAATTTTTCATTAATCTATCTATCTATCTATCTATCTATCTATCTATCTATCTTATCTTTCTTTCTTTCTTTTTTTTTTTTTTTTTGTTTCTTTTTTTTCTTTCTTTCTTTCTGAATTTTTTTCTACATTTGTTCATTATCTATCTATCTCTCTATCTATCTAATAAAGAATATTTATTTATTATTGCAATTTTTTATATCTATCTATCTATCTATCTATCTATCTAATATATATCTATCTATAATTAGTCTGTTTTGATCAATCTATATTCTATCTATAATCTATCTATCTATCTATCTATCTATCTCATCCAGTTTATCTGATCTTTCTCTCTCTCTCTATCTCTCTATCTATCTATCTATCTATCTATCTATCTATCTATTTCAGTCTGTTTAAATCTACAATCTATCTATCATTGTGAATATCTATCTATCTATCTATCTATCTATCTATCTCATCCAGTTAATATCTATGTCTCTATCTATTTCAGTCGGTTCATATCGGCTAATAGATATCTTGCATGCATGGCATGGGGCAGAGACCTTTTGCCCGACATAAGGTCTTCCAGCAGCTACCTTTGTTTAAACCGAATATATGTCGGACATGTAGATACTTTTGGTGCCTGTGATTGTTATTCGTTACGTCACTCGCAGTCTTTTGTTCTTGAAACCAGTCTTTGTTTCAGTGAAGGCCACTCAATCCTGGCTTTGTGATCAACTCGAGCGAAGTTATTAAATATCGGAATCTCCCTCATCCTCTCCCTATATCTCCATTTCTCAATCTCCGCCCCCCATCTATCAATAGAAGAAAGCATATTGTAAGTATGTTCCTAGACAATGAACTGCACTTTGAGTTTATTTTTTAACCCTAGTCTGTTTGTACTGAGTTAGAACATGAAACGAATAAAAGTAATTTCAAATATCTAAGACGAACGACTGCAGAGACCCACTTCTGCGCATGCTCAGGATAAAGAAGATGATCCGGTAACAGGTGACATTGCTCATAGGTGAAGCTGGGTTTTTTATTTCATTTAAAAGGGGAAAATATTATTTTTTCCCTGCACGGTACTATGAATGGATTGGTTCTGTGATGTTTTGGAATGTCTGCAGACTATTTACCGCTTTTTTTATGTTGGATGTTCGATACTCGAAAAGAAAAAAAAAAACAACAAAAACCATCAACCTAACAATAGCGTCGGGAACCGAAAATGGAGACGAAGGAAAGTGAGGACAAAGACTTAAGGGAAATAAGTCGGTTTATAAACCAGAGAAAAGTTTATTTTCATACAATCGTGGATTAAGGGAGAAAAAGAAAGAGAAGGAAGCAAGAAAAAAGAAGGAAAGAAAAAACCGAACGAAAAATCGAAAGAAAGAAAGAATAGAACCAATGATAAACAGACAGAAGGAACGAGAAAAGCAAAAGAAAGAAAGAAAGAAAGAAAGAAAGAAAGAAAAAACAAAGAAAATACGAATGAAAAATCGAAAGAGAAAAAGAAAGAATAGAACCAATGATAAACAGAAAGAAGGGACGAGAAAATCAAAAGAAAGAAAGAAAGAAAGAAATTACGAATGAAAAATCGAAATAAATAAATAAAGAAACAATAAAACCAATTATAAACAAAAAGAAGGAACGAGAAAAACAAAAGAAACAAAGAAAGAAAATACGAATAATATATCGAAAGAAAGAAAGAAAGAAACGATAGAACCAAAGGCAGAAATAAATAAATAAAAAGAAAAAACATGCACATACACGAAAAAAAAAAAAAAAAACAGGAAAGAAAGAATGAAAGAGGAGGTGTATATATACAATAAAGAAAAGATAAAGGAAGAAAAAAAAGGAATGATGAAGATAGAAACAAACAAAAAAGGAAAGAAATAGAGAAAAAATTGAAAGAAGGGAAAAAAAAAACGAAAGACGTATTAAAGAAATAAATGAAGAAAAGTTAAAGAAAGAAAGGCAAACTAGAGCTATGAAATAGAAGAAGGAAAAAGAAATGAGAAAGAAAAAGAAAGAGAGGAAAAAGAAAGAAAATGTGACAGAGAAAGAAAGGCAAACGAGAGCTATAAGATCGAAGAAAGAAAGAAAAAAAAGAAAAAAGAACGAAAGAAAGAAAGAAAAAAGAAAAGGAAAAAAAGGAAATAAAAAAAAAATGAAAGAAAGGCAAACGAGAGCTATAAGATCGAAGAAAGAAAGAAAGAAAAAAAGAAAAAGAACGAAAGAAAGAAAGAAAAAAAAAAAAAAAAAGAAAGGAAATAAAAAAAAATGAAAGAAAGGCAAACGAGAGCTATAAGATCGAAGAAAGAAAGAAAAAAAAGAAAAAAGAACGAAAGAAAGAAAGAAAAAAGAAAAAGAGGAAAAAAGAAGGAAATATTAAAAATGAAAGAAAGGCAAACGAGAGCTATAAGATCGAAGAAAGAAAGAAAAAAAGGAAAAAAGAACGAAAGAAAGAAAGAAAAAAGAAAAAGAGGAAAAAAGAAGGAAATTAAAAAAAAAAAAGAAAGGCAAATGAGAGCTAAAAGATCGAAGAAAGAAAAAAATGAAAAAAAGAACGAAAGAAAGAAAAGAAAAAAAGAAAGAGAGGAAAAAGAAGGAAATGAAATTAAAAAATAAAAAAGAAAGGCAAACGAGAGCTATAAGATCGAAGAAAGAAAAAAAAAAAAGAACGAAAGAAAGAAAAAAAAAAAAAAAGAGAAAAAAAAAAAAGGAAATATGAAAAAATAAAAGAAAGGCAAAAACGAGAGCAATAAGATCGAAGAAAGAAAAAAAAATGGAAAAAAGAACGAAAGAAAGAAAAAAAAAAAAACAAAGAAGGAAAAAAGAAGGAAATATAAAAAATAAAAGAAAAGGCAAAACGAGAGCTAAAGATCGAAAGAAAGAAAGAAAAAATGGAAAAAAGAACGAAAGAAAGAAAGAAAAAAGAAAGAGAGGAAAAAAGAAGGAAATATTAAAAATAAAAGAAAGGCAAACGAGAGCTATAAGATCGAAGAAAGAAAGAAAAAATGGATAAAAGAACGAAAGAAAGAAAGAAAAAAAAAAAGAGAAAAAAAAGAAGGAAATATTAAAAAATAAAAAGAAAGCAAAGAGAGAAAGAATAAGATCGAAAGAAAGAAAAAAAAAAAAAAAAAAAAAAAGAAAAGAAAAAAAAAAAAGAAAGAGAAAAAAAAGAAGGAAAAAAAAATAAAAAAAAGCAAAAGAGCTAAAGATCGAAGAAAGAAAGAAAAAAAGGAAAAAAAGAACGAAAGAAAGAAAGAAAAAAGAAAGAGAGGAAAAAAGAAGGAAATATTAAAAATAAAAGAAAGGCAAACGAGAGCTATAAGATCGAAGAAAGAAAGAAAAATGGGAAAAAAAGAACGAAAGAAAGAAAGAAAAAAGAAAGAGAGGAAAAAAGAAGGAAATATTAAAAATAAAAGAAAGGCAAACGAGAGCTATAAGATCGAAGAAAGAAAAGAAAAAAAAAAAAAAAGACTTTAAAGAAAAGAAAGAAAAAAAAGAAAGAGAAAAGAAGGAAAAATTAAAAAAAAAAGAAAAGAACAAAAAAGAGCTATAAGATCGAAGAAAGAAAGAAAAAAAGAAAAAAACGAAAGAAACAAAAAAAAAAGAAAAAGAAAAAAAGAAAAAAAAAAAAAAGAAAGGCAAACGAGAGCTATAAGATCGAAGAAAAAAAGAAAAAAGGAAAAAAAAGAACGAAAGAAAGAAAGAAAAAAGAGAGAGGAAAAAAGAAGGAAATATTTAAAAAAAATGAAAGTAAGGCCAACGAGAGATATAAGATCGAAAAAGAACGAAAGAATGAAAGCAGAAAGAAAGAAAAGAGGGGAAAAAGAAAGATTAAAAAAGCAAAAACGCAAACGAGAGCTATAAGACAGAAGAAAGAAAAGAAAAAAAAGATAGAAAGAAAAAAAGAAAGAGAGTTAAAAAAAAGAAAGATGAAAAAAGAAAAAAAGATAAACAAGAGCTATATGAAAGAAAGAAGGAAAGAAAGAAAGAAAGAAATGAAGGAAAACGGAAGAAAGATTAAAAACGAAGGAGAAAATGTATATATAGAGCTATAAGATAGAAGGAAAAAAAAAAAGAAAAATAAAAAAGGTGAAAAGACAAGAGGTATAAGAAAATAAAATTTAAACAATAAATATGAAAAATTAAAGAAAAAAAAAAAATGAACGCTAGCAGACATGTAAGAAAAGAAACAATGATTAAAGAAAGGAAAAAAAATTAAATCAAAAATGGCAGACAAAAGCTGTGAGAAAGAATGACGGAAAGAAAAAGAAAGAGAGAGCGAAAGAAAAAAGAATGTTAAAGAAAAGAGGAAAAGTTCAAAAAGAAAGTCAGAAAGGAAAATACAAAAAAAAAAAAAGGAATTAAAGGAACAAACATATATATATACATATATATATATATATATATATATAATAAAAAAAACTTGATAGACATACATACAGAGTGTAATGGGTAAATTTTCGCCATTTTTAATTTCGCGCATGCGCGTTGTTTGTTTTTCATTTTGTCGACTGCACAGCAGGGCAGTTTTAGGTTGGCATCGTCTGTGAGAAAAAAGAGCACCATAACGCAATTCACTCCACCAGTAATTTGGGATCGACGTGCTCTACTGCTTGGCATTTGCAATTTTTCTACTGAAAAGAAATTTTTATTAAAATATTCTGTCAATCTGAGGGCAGTGATCGAGGATTCGGAAAGAGTTAGATGAGTCTAATAGTGATTACAAAGGTACGGAAAACTCACTCTAATCGTTCTGATAAGAAAAAAAAAAATCTTGTTGGTTAGGGTCTCAGACTCAACACAGACTTGAGGAGGTAGTACTACTGGAAGACCCGATGTCTGGCCACAGGACTCTGTACCATGCCCTACAAGCAGAAGAACCCAGTCATGGCTGTCAGCTAATTCTGCGACCACATTACTCCTTACATCTGACCACCTATCTTCCCAGACTGCAAGCCCTTTATTATCATGTGTGGGCACAATTAAGCAAGAGACCAAAGATGAACTGAAGGAAAAAACATGCGGGGTACCATGCCTTTTCATCGTTGGCAAAAGCCAAAGAAAGGCTTTGAGATTTTTGTTTGTAGATGTTCACATTGTTGCAGCAATAGTCAGGATGGATAATATATTGTATGAGTTTGGAAGGAAATTTATCGTGGAAGTTCCCATATTTTCAAGATCATACACAATAAGTCCTTCATCAAAATTATCTGACTAACGCAGATTTTGTTCTTGAAAGAAATGATTCCTTTGTTGATGCTGATTCATTGGAGAAATATTTCGAAGTCGAAGTTTTTTTTTTTTTTTTCAATTGAGAAAAGACAGACAAAAAAAAATTCGAGAACTTATTTATTGCAAATGCCAAAAAAATAAAACAATGTACAAAAAACAAGGACAAGCTCTGAAAAGATTGATGAAAAATATAAT